TACCAGATTTAAAGTTAAAACAAGGTTTCGCTGACAACCTTTTTGTCCAATTAAAAGGATTGAAAAGATGGAGTAAACTTTCCTAAGGAGCAGCTAAACATCAAATGGAATTTATAAGATTGATTTTATTTCTGGAAAAAACTATTAGTTCGAGGTGAGGCAAAAACTACAACAATTATACAAAGAGAGCAGAGAAAGTTTGGTGAAATTACTTACCAAAATTCACTAAAGAGGGCATAATGTTTTTAAAAAAATTCCTATCCTATATTTTGAAACTTTTTCACTGGGTTCTCCTATGTATATAATGTTTTAAATCGTTCGTGTTCGTGGTTTCGGATAAATAAAGTTTCTTGTTGTCTTTTTGAACACACCTTGTCAAATATTGAAGCCTTACGAAATTTTAGAAGCCTAAAATTGGAGGAAGAGATATTAAACTGCACAAACAATATTAGATAATATCAAAAAATAATCTCTTCAAAATTGGAGCATAGAATAATATATTTTGAAATAATTTTTTTTTAAGTGATTAACTGCTAAGTGCTGTGCAACACCCTGTACAAGACGTGACGGCACACATCTCGTGAAACATATTGTACGAGCACGAAGAGCAAGGGAAGCAGCAAAAGGGCAATCGCAGACAATATGCTGCCGCACGGTTTGGATGCAGCCGCTGCCACGCGATTCCTGCTGATGCCTCCGTAATCCTGCTGCCGCCACAGGGGTGACGGGACTAAATCGGACGGCCAACTTTTTATTGAGACGTATAGAAAACCAATTGGACGTGGCGATAGAATATTTCTCCCGATCTGCGGTTGAGTTGTTATTAAATTAATAGAAGTGGTAATGGGAGTGTACGTATGTAGCCAGGACTTCTTACCAGTAGAGATAAATTAGCAAGTTCAGTATTTTTCAATGAAACAAAAAAAAAATCTGAAAAAGATTTACCCCAATCCAAAACTTTAATTTGGTGTTACTGGAAAATAACTTTGCGATATTATTTCTCAATCTCCTAACTCCAACTAAAAGGGAAGATGTCTGCGTTCTCTAAACGTAAAATGTGTTTATAAAAGGTGAGCTGAGATCTAACTAGGCTGGTCATTTGACCTCCAATGGACCGGCAATTAATTGACTAGTCAAAATCGATCAAAATGTATTTTTAAAATTATTTCGGTCAATTGACTAGTCAGCAGATATCACATCACCATAGAACCAACTAGAAACGAAGATGTTTGATTTTATTTTACCACCAGATATGTTTTTCTTTGGTAAAAGGCGTTGGGGAATGAGAATTTTCGATTTGGTACAGTGTGTTATGAAGAAGTTGTTTTGGTTTAATTGCCACAGTACCCTCTTCTAAGTTTACCATGAAGGTAAAGGCGAAAAAAGGCTTTCGACCGTATTGATTCTTCTTCTTCAAACTTTCTTATTTTTCTACAAATTAAATAATACTAGTTTATTTGAGTAAATTTTCTTGCTTTTATCATACTTTGCTCATGCGGTTTACGACTGGTCTAATATTTTTAATTTTTTTCATTCATTTTTATACTGAGGTTGACTTTTTTTCCGTATCGTTTGGGAACATCCTGTATAATACGTATGTCCTGCTCATTTCCTAGATGTCATTAGAATGAATGATGAATGAAGGCATTAGAAAAACATTTTTTCAATTTCTGCTTTTTAAAAAAAAAATGAGATCCAGATTTTGATCACTGGACATAAATCAGTACTGTACACTTTTTCTATTTATAGTTTGCATTTAATTTTTTGCACATATCTCTTCTACTATGTCTAGTATTCATTTATTTGCATATTTAAATAATTATACAAGCAAGGTTATTCAACAGACTGCTGGGAGGAACATAAATTAGGAACAATGAGAATAACTACAAAAAAAATTCTAACATAAAAACCTATAACAAAGCCGGTAAATACAGAGCAGTCTGAGTGAAATGTTAGAAATATATTAAGTAAGTCAGTAGTAACTATCATCATTGACAAAACTGAAAGGAATGATAATTAGTTGTGAAAACAGGACCATTGAAAGTCTGTTTCGAAGGTTATGAAGTCTAACTTTAAAAAGAATATAAATTACGCAAAACTCAGAAACTATAAGGTCATTAACTGTCTTATAAACAAAGATCATGTCAAAGCACTGTCTTCTGAAATTCGATGAACGCGAGCTCTAATAGCGTAAATTTTCATTACCACAGTGCGAGTGTCTTTGTCCATTGAAACGAAAATTAACGGCAAGCAGCAAAGCAGGAATTTGATGGTATACCGGAATCCAAACTGTTGACAAATACTGCAGAAAATTTCTTATTATATTGCAATTTAATGAACCTGGGTTCGTAAAGTACTTTTCCCATATTCCAATATTATGTAAGAAAAAGAGCATTTGAAAATTAATTTCTACTGGATATGTATTAGACATTATCTCTCGTAATGTTATTTGCGTGCGTATAGAATGTGGATTATATATTGGTTTTGCAGTTCGTATCAAATTTTATAAACACCGCTGTTTGTACACATTCCTGGCTTAAATAAAGGCCGATATTTATTATTACGCAGGAGGTTTTCTCGCTCCAAATCGATATAGCCAAATTCCACCGGAAATATTTAAACAAGGACCCGCCCCGACAAATATCCCGAATGTCACTCGGAAAATATCTCCCGGATAACCTGGCCGCCATCTTAGTCTTTCTATTGCCTCCGGGGGTCCTTTATATCAACTTTGCCCTCGGCTCTTATATAAAGTGGATTCGTAGCCATGTTACGGCGCGGTAAATATTTGAAGGGTTAGTGGAGCAGGCTTCCGAAATGAATCTTTGCAAAAAGTCGACCCCAGAAAGTTCTTAAATTACTTTCGTTCAAGTCGCGGGCTGGAGTTTTGAGATGTGTTACGCCTGAAATTAGAATACCAAAGGAAAACACGAAATAAATTTAACCTGTCTTAAAAGTCGTCCTTGTTTCGAAGTTGAAACTGATGTGAAACGGTAGAAACATTTTGAAACCACCTTGGCAGCAGCAGTGAAGGTGGGTTAATATTATTCTATTAATGTAATTGCGAGAATGGTAGACTGTCGATGAGAATAAGAATGTTATCTCAAATTTGGTGATTTCTAGTGAAATTTGACCCCCAAAATCCCTAATCACATTTTTAGGTTAGGTTAGGTTAGTCATATGGGCCGACTTTTAGATTAGATTACATTAGAATGATCCTTAGGGTTATAGATATTATATTTATAGTGATCAATTTTTTTTTAAATAAATTTGTCACGCATTTGAAAATACATTCGAAAAATATTTTTGAAATTTTTGATTTTTTAGAAAAAATATGATATTCAAATTTTGAGTAAAAATACTTACTGGACATAAACCGGTCCTGTACATTTTTTCTATTTATTTTGCATTTAATTTTTTGCACAAATCTCTTCTACCATGTCTTTAATGGTATTCATTAATTTGCATATTTAAATAATTATACGAATAAGGTTACTCAGCAGAGTGCTGGGAGGAATATAAATTAGGAACAATAAGAATAACTACAAAATTCGGTAGACCTACGCAAAAAAAATTAACATGAAGCCGGTAAATACGAGAAGAGCAGTCTCAGCGAAATGGTATAAATATATTCAGTAAATCAATACTATCACCATTGACAAGTAAAGACATGGTAGAAGAGATATGTGCAAAACATTAAATGCAAATTATAAATAGAAAAAATGTACAGTACCGGTTTATGCCCAGTATGTATTTTTAATCAAAATCTGGTTCCCATATTTTTTCTAAAAAAGCCGAAATTCCAAAAATGTTTTTCGAACGTCTTTTCAAAAGCTTGAAAAACCTATTTTAAAAAATTTAATTGATCACCTATTACCCCACCATCTATAAATATAACATCTGTAACTGTATTATTTAGTTCGAAAAGTTTTGGATAGTTTCTATTTTATTTATTTATTTATTTATATATCTTTTTAAATGTCAAAACTAGATCACATACAATCTGTGCCAAATCTTAGCTGCTAAATTTATAGACAAGATTTTTAAGACTAACAACAGAATGAGTTTAAGCGTTTATTTACATTGATGGTTAATTTATGAAAATTCAGACAGTCTTTTACCATTTGCACGCCTCTATCTGCTTTACATTTAACTGCCTACCAATATTCCCACTTTCACTTGCTGAGAATTATCATCCAAGTAGCTGCAAAGGAGTGGCTCTTTACAGTTTTTTATAAGGCACTGTGTCAACCGCCTCGTAACATTAAAAAAAAACAAACATTTGTTGCTTCTATCCAATTCATTTTTAATGAAGTCAACTAATTTTAAAATAGCGTTTCTGGGACAGTTTAGCAAATGTGGGTTATTTAAGAAGATTTTAGGATACAAATAATAATAAAAACAATAATTAAAGCATAAAACAATTCAAAACTTTTTAGACATTGTTACTATCGTCAATGTATATATTCTTAATATTTCCTATATTCGACATGTTTCCTATAAATTATGTTTAGTAATGTAAATAAAGAAAAACAAAGAGATCCCTTGTGAAAAAAGAAATTTTCTTCTAGAAGTTTTTATTTTCGGTTTTTCGGAAATTAAAACGAATAACCAGTGGCGTAGTGTTTCTCTATTAGTGAGAAAACAACATTAATGCCCTTGTCGTCAAAATAAGAACATAACGGAGAATAGTAGCAACAAAATCAACGATACGAATAACGGTAGTTTTAATTAATTTAACCAGTGGCGTATCAACATTTGCATTGAACTGAATTTGTAGGTTTTGTCGTAATTGCCTCTTATTCTTCGTTTTCTATCTACAGATAAGTAAATAAATAATAATAATAAATTTTAGGCTATAAAATAATGGCAATACAGTGCAAATATAAATAATATTATTATAAACTATTTAAATTGCGGGATGATATTGCAAATTACGTCACAATTTGCCTTTCAAACTTGGCGTTATTCAACTAACGACGTCGCCACGGCCGACTCACCTGTCGTAGTCTAGCCGACAATACAGCTTCGAGTCCCGGACAAAACAGGTGTGGTGCAGGCGATCGCCGCAAGTGCAGCACTGGACGCAGTGCTCGTGGTACGACACGTCCATGATACGGAGAAGGAAACGGTCGTTGATGGGTCGATAACACATACCACAGAGGCTGCCGACGCCACCGGCTGGAGCAAAATGTAAAAGCCATGATTGAAATAAATGTTGACAATGTTGACAATATTACAATGTTAAGGTTCCGTTCCATTCCTTTATTTTAGAACAATCTCCATACTCCAAAAATTTTGATAAGTTTGTTTTTGTTTCTTTGTTTTTCCGGGTCACTAAGTGACATGTGACGTGCCCGTCAAAAATGACAGCGGTGAATGAAAGCTGGCGCTTTAAAGTGGCACTTTGCGCTTACCTGATTAGTGTATACCTGATAGGGTATTTTAGAATATATGTAAGAATAAAATGAAATAAATAAAAACGTACGCAGATAATTTTAATTCGTTTGTTTGCTTTGTATTTCAAAAAGTAGACGCATCGCTGTTTCTTGTCCTAGAGAGACGCATTGTTTTTCTATCTGCGCACCACTATGGAACTTTCGCGACTTGTCGAACTTCAAAGTCACGGCAAACTTTGATAAATGTAACAATTTGCACAAATAGTCGCGGTTTCAAATGAAATTTTTTCAAATATCTCGCGCACTCCGTATGATAGACGAAACCTGAAACTCTCGCTCGACCCAATTTTCGAGACTGGTTAAAACAAATTATCCCGTGTTTCATAGTTTTTCATTTACAGCAAATAAATTTCCCACGAAAACAACAATTTTCAGGATCTTTTTGTTTTTGTTACCCGTAATCGACATACCCTGTACATAATCCAAAAAAAAAAACAAATTAAAAGTTATAACCCTAGATCGCTCACGTTTTCCGGTATATAATTTTTGCAATAGGATAAATAGTTTTCGAGAAAATACTTGTTTCCCGAAACCATGCAGTAAGCCGTAATAGTCAATGACGTCACCGCATCTAGATTGAGTGCGAGATATTGCGATTTTGATATGGATTTTTTCAAATATCTCTTCTAAAAGAACAATGTTCGGAGTCTTTTAGACTCTTGTCCATAACTAAAACACCTTTTATATAATCGAAGAAATGAGTGAAACAAAAGTTATAGCGCCGGATCTCCCACGTATTACGATTGTAAAATTTTTCCTATCGGATCAATGGTTTTGGAGGAAAAGATATTTTTTTTGGAAGCCAAAATAACCGAAAAAAAATATTCAAGAATTTTAAGAAAATACTTCCTTAAGAAATACTTAAGAAATACTCTCCCAAATCTCAAGTCGGTAGCTGCAAATTTGGGGCACTTATTACGTTTCTTAATATTGCACGAAATATCTCGAATACCCTGTACTTTAAATACGAATACAGACTATATCGTCATGTAAAAGAAACTGACATCTAAAACACAGATTTCAAATTATTGCCAATTTTCAATAATAGGGGGACCCACTTTTCAGTTTTTTTGAATTTGCGGCGTATATTTTTGAAAAATTGTCAAGAATAAAAGTTTATGGGACCGTATCCTCTGCGTCTTCTGGTTCAAGAATTTTTTTGTAGACCCAAGACCCGGTGTTGTCGAAACAATTGTCATGTAAAAATATATAATTTCGTGAAAATCTGAATTTCAAATTCAAATTCAAATATTCGATAGATGTATAAATATCAGACATATAAATTAAGAATAATATAGGTCCAAGGGCGGAACCTCGCGGTACACCTGATGGGAGTATTTGAGCCGTTCACCTGCAAAACCAAATTTTTAGGTACTTTTTAGTACAATCCCGCATAAGATTAGTTCGAAGCGTTCAAAGGAAGATAATATTACCGAAATTTAGACACCCCGTGTTTCAAGATTCTCCGAGAATGCGGGGGGAACGCGGACCCCTTTTAATCGGCGCGGGGCGGGAGGACAGGAATAGAAAGTGAAATTTCACGAGCACAACTAAGCGTAACGAATGATTTTTCGAACCGGGGCCAGAGACGTGTAAACATACTCCGAATATTTTATCAATTAGACATTGCAGTATGTGAGTGAGCGGGGGTCGGCCCCTGTCTGTCTCTCTTCGGCCCCCCTCGTAAAGAACCGAATAATCGGATGCCAGGGGGATTATTGAGCTTAGCTGGAGCGTGATTAATTGATTCATATAAGCAGACGGGGATGTTATTATTGCCGAGCGTAAATAATTTTGACTGGAGCTTACAGGTGATTTCGCCGGGGGGCGGTGCGGGGGGAGGCGGGTTTCGGTGGCGAAAAACGGCGTTTTGCTCCGAAAGAGCCGACAGGCCGGACGCACGTGCGGTCCGCGAGTAATGGCGCATGACCAGAACCGATTCCGTCGTTTTTGCTGATTTTTTATAGGGGGAAACGAGATGCTTTTGAAAGGTAGAACCCTTATAGTCGTTTTTTACCCAGATATATGATTTTGTTGTTACCAATCATAGTGTCCCACATTTGGCCCCCGTCAATTTACTAAATAAAATTATTACTTGCATTTTAAAAACTTTTGGATTCCTCCTGCGTCGGTTTTTGCTGAGTCGAACTTGCCGACGTTTCGCCAATCACCCTGTTGGCTTCTTCAGAGCTTGACTGAAACTGGCTCGTATTTTACTCTGTACCTGCTTTTATATTGTTTGAGGGGAAGCGTCTCGGATGACTGATTCCCAAATTCGTGACAGGTTTATAGATTTCTATAGACTCTTGGTAGAAGAACTGCAAGAATTTTAGTTTTTTCGAATAAAATTTTATGTCCAGTTTCGTGAGTGTGTTCGGCAACAGCTGATGAGTTTATTTGTCTTAGTCGTAAGGCTCTTTCGTGTTCTTTGAGCCTATTTCATATATTTTTTTATATTATATCAAACACTCTTTAACTTTTAAGATAGCGGCTTGAGATAGCGATTTGAAATTTAGAAGGGTTAATGTCAATGGTTGCACTTCCGGTTTGAGCGGAAACGACTTTCGAATTTTAAATGGCACAACCCATATTTTTCCCTATTTTTTCTCTTTTTTTTTTTTTTTTTTTTTTAATTTTTATTTAATTTTGAAAATTGTATCTAGGAGGCTATGACCATCATAAATAATATACTGGGTCACCTGTTCATAGGAAAAATTGTAAATGAAACTATTAATTTTTGAGTATAACCTAGTATTTTCAATAGTGGCAACAAAAACTTTTTAAACATTTTGCAACATTTTGACATCAAAATATTCAAAATTCGTTAATGTAATTATATGGCACAGCTTTTTTTACCATTCTTAAGAGGCCCATTTTACGCAAAGGGCTAAAAATGTACAAATAACCAGAATTCCTAATTATAATAACAAAAAAAAAAGTTTAATTTTTGAAATGGGTTAGTGGGTTAGTAGGTTGTCTTAGCTATTTTTATAAACCTGACAAAAAATGCACACAATGCCTTTGACTGGACTTCACCGATTGCACGCTCGATGGCGTATTGTTTTGCGCAAAACTCACCTTCTGTTGATTTCATACACGAACAGTTACTTTTTTTAAGCCTATCTGTTTAACCGGATCCAGAGAGTTATTCTAACTGATATCGTCTCAAATACTTGTGGTATCACGTCCCGGGTGCCACAAGGTTCGATCCTTGGGCCCATCCTTCCAATTGGTGCCCCAGTGTCCCATGTCTCCTACTTATTCCTATGTGCAGGTGATATGAAAATATTTAGGGTTATCCGTCTTCTTCAGAGAGATCTCAAAATCGTTAACTCTTGGTGTAAACCTTAGTTGACCAAACTTTTTGGTTAGAAGTTTCAGATTATTATTGTAGATCCGATTTTGAGTTTTGTGTTTTTTTTTTTGTTTTTGGACATAGAGTTCTCTACCTAGTTGCTTTTGGTTGGGTTGGGTTTTGCTATATTGTTTATTGGTACGTTTTCAGTATTCGGAATTATCATTTCATGTGGTAACAATACTTTTGAATTAATTTTCTTGTCATTATGTACTATATCTATTAGACAATCACGTGTTTTCAAAATCAACTTGTATTAGCACAAAAAAAAAGATTCAAGAATATTATTACTTGGAAGGTTTTCTTACAGGATAAAATCATTTATTAATTACTAAAAAAAACTAAAAGATCTCTATGGATTGAGCAGTTAAATATAACGTCAAGAAGAGTTGGCAGTTCTTCAAATGGCAAAGAATATAATTATTTTTTATAAAACACCTAATGCTATGTACAGGGTGTTTGAAATAAGGTTTTCTACCGTTAACTCAAAAACCAGAAACGATAGACATGAAAGTTAAATAGAAAACTTGCATAATTACAGCATTTTTGGATTGCCCTGTAAATTCTGGATAAATCTTGAATTTTTGTGTCAAAATGACGTTTGCGCGTCCTAAAATAACTAAGAATTTTTGCTAGAGGTCATGTTGTCATATATTGAGTGAATGTTTTTGATGTAAATTAATACCGGGTGAATAAAAATATAGTAAGTCAATTATAATTTTTTTTTTGGGTTGTCTATTCCGGAAATTTACAGTTGAACAATTTAACATTTTCATATAACAAATAATTACTAATTTCATGTAACGTAATAATACTAAAATACAGCTGTTAATTATTGTGATAAATTAATTATTACATTAATCATTAATACAATAATCATCAATCTTTTGAAATTAATTCTTAACTAGTTAGTTATGGACCAAAAAAATAATTTTAAATTAATTGAAAAGTACTTCAATTGGCTGTTCCAAAAATACATCATATTTGATATTTGGCTTGAGAGTTTTGAACTAACATTCTTTGGACCGACCGGCCAATATATCGACTTTGCAATGGTAGCTTTGGTTAGTTGTCAAATAAATTTGAACATTATATTCACAACATTTGTTCTGATAAAATAAAACTGCTTGCTTATTACGCTAGCACACCGTTGGTGAAAGGATAATAAGCAGAACCCAAAAGTTGACACATACCTTTGGATAAAAAAAATTTGCAATGTAGTCAGTTAAGTTTTGTTTGGTCAATAAGGTGGACTGTAATTTTGATAACTGGCCGTCAGATGGCGAAAAACGCGAGAGGCGATACACAATCTGCGCTGATAAACCATAATTTATCGAACATTACACCCCAATTTATCGGAACCTAATGCGATTTAATTTCGACAATCCCGGTCGTATTTCATATATCGGGGCACCCTTTAAAAATCCGACAGGGGTCAAGCTGTTAAACACTAATAGGTATGACGTTGCATGAAATGGCGATTTAAAAAAAAGAGGTAGAGCCGACAACAAAGGGT